GAGCACTCTTACCATTTCTGAAAGTATTTTCACTTCTTCTTCTTTCACTTCATTTGTCTTAATTTTATTTTCAATTGTAGCAATGATGGTGTCTTTCTCATCAGGAAACATGTCTAGTCTTAACAACATTACATCAATCAATCCCTCATTCCATTGTATCATTTTATCACTCACCTCTCTCATAGTCTCTTTCTCATCACATAAATATGATGTGTTCATTAATGCTTTTCTGCTCTGTAATGCTGTGTCTCGTTTAGCAATACATCTCCATTTTCTTGAACTTTCAAATGCTTTTTGATATTCCTTCTTCTCACAATAACACATCACAATCATTTGATAAATTGCTCCATCTTTTTTTTCTATATTGTTCAATATTTCCATTGCATCATCATATCGTGCCTCAAAATAGTAGTCTTGTGCTCTACTGATCATTTCTTCTTCTTCATCCTCATCAATGTCATTATTATGACAATTAATCCATTCAGTGTTATTGTGTTTCATTTCTAAATAACAGTATTTCTTTTGTTTTTGAGTTTAACATTGTTATGTATAACACAATAAGAATAGAAAAATAAGTAGTGTGTTGTGAATTAACAATTGTACAATATCGAATAGTTATAAAAATATATGTAAAATCAGATTAAATAAAAGTACTAAAATTATAACAAACAAATGATTGTAGGATTAATGAAAATACTACAAGAAACCATGATAAAAACATTTAATTAGGTATGATATTAATGTATAATCAAATCAATAAATTTTATACCAAATGAAGAAAATTATGAGCAAAGAAACAATAACGAGTAAAATGTATTTTTAATTAGAAATACAAATGAAGTAATTTATTAAGAATGATGATATGATTAATATGTTATTGTTTTTATTGAATAAACTCAATTAGAAATAATGATTTAGTTATATGGATTTAAAACAAATGTAATGTAAATGAATAAATCTTTTTCATTAAAGAAAAAGAAAAATTGGTTCTGATTAAGGTGTTTGTAATATTATCAAACGAAACTTCAGTAATTCTGGTATGACTGTAACTATGATATTATCAAAAAGAGAGTTGCATTTTTGTGTTAGGATAAAGCGAAAATGAATATAAATAATTTTACTTCCACAAAGAATGATAATTAGAGTAGACTTATTGACAAAGACTCAGAAAAGAAAATATCATCTAAAACAATAAAACAGATAATAAAAAGAATGAAAATTACATCAAATCGTCATTAGATTGGTCTTGAATATTTTGAGTAATAGACTCAATTTTTGGAGTGATTGAAAGAATTATTTTCTCTAAATTATTAAAAGCCGTAATAAATTGACCATAGAATGGATTATTTGGGAAGTTTCTAAGATGTATTGGTAGAGCTGTTGCAATGCACTTCATCATATTTGTTATTAATTCCCATAATTCCATGATTTGATCTGGTACAAAATTATCAACTTTTTGAATTAAGAAAACATCAACTATTTTAGATGGACCATTTTCACCTAAAAGTAATTGTTTTAAAGAAGTTGTTAATTCTTCTGTTATTGGATAGACACAAGCATTTTGGAGTTTTTCAGTTAGAATATCAATATTATCCATACAAGTTTCTATTGGAGATAAATAACTATCTTTTAGTTTAGACTCTATCTGTTGTCTTCTTAAAACTGAAGGAAGTGGTTGTTTAGTACAATAAATAATTCTTCTTTTAGACGTTTCATCAATACCACCATTTCCTTCTTTTCTTAAAAATTCATAAGCAAAAGTATTTGTAGTGAAATCATTATCATTTTCAAAGACTGGATGAACTTCAGTAATTCTAATATAAATTTCTTCTAATGGTAATCCAACTGCACATTGACCTTCTTTTAATTCTTGAACTTCATTCTTTCTTCCAATAGGAACAATGGCTTTAATTTCTTGAGAAAAAGCATCATATGTTTCATGTGTTTGATAAATAAATTCTTTTTCATTTAATTTGTCAAATGTGTTTCCATAAAAACCAACTAAATAGAAGTGTTTTTGACCTTCTTCATGTTTATCTTTCATAGAATAGATAACTGTTAATTTTTTATGATATTCATCAAGTCTTTTATATTCTTTTCTTTTATTTAAATATTCAATAACAGCAAGAAGTAATGCTTCAGCTAAGTCACAAATCTTTTTAATGCTGAAATATTTATATGCTAAATTTACATGATTAAAAAGAACTTGTTCTGTACAACCTTCAACTTCTTCTCCTCGTTTATTTTTCATTAAATCTCCTATGTCTGTAATTTTATTTAATGAATTAAAAGCTTCCCCTCCTTCTAAGAAAGAAGCAATAAAACAAATCATATGAATTTCACAAAGTCCAGCTTCAACATAATGTTGTCTAACACTTTGTTCTTCAGCAATCTTTTCAAACCATTTCAAATGGAGTCTTGGAGTATCAAGATATCCATGTGCAAAAGTGAAAGATCTATCACAATAAGCATCTGGATCACGAGTAGATTCTTTAATTTTCTTTAGATCATTTAATTTAACAAGAATTTGAGTAATATCTTTCTGTAATTTTCTCATGACTGATTTGTATTGAGACAGTCTATACAAATTAACATCAATGAATGCATCTTCAACAAATTGACACTTTTCATCAATAAAGTCTTGTACAACTGCCATTTCTGTAACAGGACCACTAATAGCAATTGTACTTTTTGATTTATGATATTGTTTTTTTACTTGTTTAGAAATTTTTGTGTTTTGTCGTTCTCTTCCTACAACCAAATCTTCAACAGTTACAAATCCAGACGTTGAACTTCTTTTATTAACTGAACATTTAGAAGAAGTATTATTTTCATGTTTTTGAGAATTAGGTGTTAAACTAATTTCACTTTGTCCTCTTGTTAATGGAGATAATGAAATGGGTGGTTTTGATTCATCTTCCTCTTCATATAATTCAACAGAATTATCATAATCAATAACTTCATCTATTTCTTCATTTAAAAGTTTCTTTAATTCATTCCAACTTCCTCTTCCTTGACTTTTGTATTGATTCCATAATTCAATAGCTTCTTTTCTTAATTCAATTTTTCCTTTTTCTTTTTCATCAACAAGTATCCATTTTTCAGTAATAACAACAGCTTTTTTTTCAACTCTTTTAATTTCTTTTTCCATCTCATCCATCATTTTTCCAATAATTTGATTTTCTCCTTCAACACAACCACAAACATTTATTTTTTCTTCTTCTTCGTTTGCAGCATTTATTAATTTCATTTGTCTATCTTGAATCATTAATGATTTTCTTGTAGTTTTTCTTCTTCCTAATGTTTTTGTTTGAGATAATCTTTCTTCACTTAAAATTGCATTTAATCGTTTTCTTCTCAATGTTAAATTTTCAAATGTTGATGAAAGTTTTGTTCCATCTTCTTTAATAATTTGTGCAAGTTCACACATAAAAGGTGTAACAGCTCCATTTTCATGAATAGGAATTTGAGCAACATATTTAATAGTTTTAATTTGTTCTTTAAGCATTAAACAATCAGTGATATATGACCTTTCTAACTTAAACCATTCTTCAGCTTTTTCAAGACGTTGTTGATTGTTACAAGCTTTTTCAATAATTTTTTCAACTTTACTTAATGTAGTAATAATTAATGGAAGAACATCTTCAAAAAATTCAAAAGGAATACAAAAAGTACCTTTTAATGATTTATCACGTTCAGTTACTTGAGGAACAGTTAATTCTTTTAATTGATCAGAACATATCCCAGTAGTACTTTCATCTAATCCAAAAATAATTTCTTCAAGTGTTTCTTTTAATATTTGAATATTTGAAGCATTTTCATGATTTATTTCTTGTTCTTGAATTTGGTATTTCTTTTTATTATCAATTATTTTTTTAATCATTTCAGAATATTTTATTTGAACATGATTTGCTCCATTAATAATTTCATTAAATTCATTAATTCCTACAGGGAATAATGGATTACTTTCAATAATTTTTAAAGAAGTTTTATATTGTTGAATAAGTTCTTCTGATTCTTTATTACAAATTTCAGTTTTACATTGACTAATGATATAGTTTTTATTTAAATCAGGTTCATTTTGAATAACTCCTTTAATAGTAAGTAATGCCCATATTATTCCTTTTGCACATTGATCTCTAACTTTAATACAAAGTTCATTAACTTCATTTTCAGTTATTTTATTTGTTTGAGAAATACCAACCATTTCTATTTCTAAACTTTTCATTTCATTCCATTTACTTCTCATGATATCAACTGTTTTATTTACTTGTTCACTAACATTTAAATCACTATATTTTTTCATTATTTCTTCAACAACTTCAACCATTTCTTGAGTAATAAAAAATGGTTTTTCTAATATTTCTTCTATCATTTTTGAATATCCATTAACCGGAGTTGATGGTAATTCTTTTAATATTTTAAGATGATGTATTCTTAATTCAATCATTTGTTTAAGTAAAATAACAAATGCTTCAATATCTCCTAATGACTCTGTTCTAATAATTGTTTTTCTTGCTTTTAATGAATTAATATTAGGAACAAGTAAATTTTTTTTAATTTGATTAACTGATAACGTAGTATTTTCAACATCAGCAATATGTGTTGTATCAAGTGCTTCAACAGATGCATTAAACCTATCTTCAGCAATATCACCAGCCTCAACAACAGCAGTAGCCATTAATGAAATACTTCTTGATATAGTATTTGTTTCAATAAAATTATTTTTAATATAAAGATATAATAATTCAACTCCTCTTCCTCTTAACTGAGCTGAGTTTGATTGAAATAATTTAATAAGTGAGCTTAATAATTTTACTGAAAAATCTTCACTTCCAGAAAATATATTAGTTCTATAATTCATTAATAAATTTTTAACAAATACAAAAACATCATCATTTACAACATGTTCTTCAAATAATTTTGTTGCTATAATTCCTTTTAAATATTCTAATTGTTCAAAAGATTCTTGTTTTAATAAACTATCAAAAATAATACTAAACATATCAAGACATACTTTAACTACTTCAGTACTTAATACTTTATGTAATTTATTATGTGAACTATCATCAGTTCTCATAGGTCGTAATGATCGAATAACAGGTATTTCAAATTTTTGTTCTGGAACATTTCCTATTAAATCACCAAAATCCATTCCAGGAAATTTTGGCATTGGAGCCATATAATACATATGTTCTTTTAATCCATTTACAATTAATTTAATATTTCTATCAATTTCTTCATATACATCAATTGTTTCTTGTAATGGAAAGTAACTATATAATAAACAAAACCTTGTCATTATTTTAATTAATGTCTCTAATCTACTTGGAACTTCATTTTCTATCCATTCTTTTAACATTTCTTTATTTAAATTTTTTAATACCCAAACATATAATAATCCTAACATTTCCATATCACTTACATTTTGAATTGGTGTTCCATTATTACCACAAAATGTTTGTGAAGAAGATCCAACAAGTTGACTATTTATTATTCCAGAAATTTCTCCTAATTTAAATGATAAACTTCTTCTTTGTTGTTGTTGATTTTTATTTCCTTCCTGTTGTTTAATGAATGGTACAAATTTCCATTTTGCAAAATTTTCAAAATTTTCTAAGAATTGCATAACAAAAGGTAAAAACATTGCAGCTGTAAATTCTTTTTGTTGTCCTTGTAAATTAGCATCTAAATCAAGTCTAGACACAAGTCCAACCATTAAATATAATGAAATTCTATTTATTTCTTCACTTCTTCCTAATAATAACATATGTTGTCTCATTAAAAATGCAATAGGAAAATGACGAGTCCATAATAAATCATCTAACATAACAATATCACTAACATCTACATTTCCTGGATTAGATGCTTCATATAAATTTAAACTTCCTTCAAAAACTGCTAAAAATTGTGTTTTAATCATTTCAAGTGCAACCATTTCTGGAGAATTATATTCTAATTTTTTTCCTCTTTTAAGTTGGTCATAAGGCCAAGTTAAATGATTAAGATATTCCTCCATTAATTTCATTCCTTCTGCTTTATATCCCATTTCAATAAGAGTTCTTATAAAATATGACATATGTGCATTTCCTTCTTCCATACCTAAAATTTCTTTTTTAATTACATGTCCTCTAATAGTATCTCCAAATGTTTTAATAAAATTTATTGCATTTGACCAAAAATTTTCATCAGCACCAGTTTGTTGAATAGATTTTCTTAATAATTCTAATACTAACCAACAATGTTTAAATATTTCTGTTTGTGGAGATATTTCATCAAATTTATATATTAAATTACATGTTTTAATTAAATTAAGTGCAATTTCTTGTGTTTCAAATGAACAATAGTGAGTAATATATGTTTCAACTGTTTGATTTCTTTTTTCTGATGAATTACAATGTCCACAAATTGTTTTCATTAATATAAATAAAACATCTTTATTTGGTACCATTTTACTTTCTAAAAAAGATGTTAGAATATGAGGTAAAAAATGAATAATATCAATTAATGGTATTTGATTAAATGTATTATCAATTTTACCATTAACTAATTTATTAATTGCATCATGTGCTATTGGACTACTTGGATAAACTGTTGAATAAAGATTAAAAAATACTGTTAAACTTTTTTTATTTTCTTCATCATATTTCATTGCTTGTTCAATACTTGAAGCTAATTGTAATGTAAGTTTTCCTGGTTGAATTGCAATATGTCCATTTTCATATAATTTTACAATACCAAATAATTCTTTTTTTATTGAATTTCCTTCATGAATTTCTTGAACATTAAAAATAAGTTGATAATTTTCATTTAATGGAAATGGTAATTCTAATTTAAATTCATCATTAAATTGTATTTGTTTACTTCCACTTAATGAACTAATATTATTATCTTCAAATGAAATTTTATCAATTTTATAAAATGATTTAACTGGTTTTCCATTATTCATTAATTGTACACTAACAACCATTGGATTTCTTTTTTTTTCTTTCCCAAATGAAATTTCTAATGGATAAATATATAATCTGTTATAATAATCATATAATAAATCTTCTGTTTGTTTTATCATTAATAAATTATCTAATACAATTGCACTATCTCCTTCATTTTTCTTTCCAAATTTATATTTTCCATTAATTAATTGAATATCAGAATCAAATTCACTAAATTCAAATTGTGCTTTAGCACTTTCTATTTGTTTTTTTCCTTTAAATTGACTTTGATAAACATCCCATATATTTTCATTATCTGTTTCTATTTTATAAAATTGAACTGGCAAATTTCCATTTTTCTTTTCTAATTCTCCTTTTAATGAAACAAATCCAATCATTAATTGTTGCCAATAATTTCCATATTTTCTTTCTATCATTTTTTTCTTTCCTTTTTTATCTTCAAATCCTTTAGCATATAATTCTCTTGCTTGTACTATATCATCCCCTGATTTTCTTAATACTCGAACTACTAAAATTATATCACTTCCTTTAATTTGTCCTTTTAAAAAATACATCAAATGTACTCTCTCCATTTTCTCAATCACAAGATCTTCAGTAATCTTTTCTCTTGAATTTGAATCATAAACACTAAGAATAAATCTTAATGGTTCTGGTGCATCTTCTCCTCCAAATGAAATAGATTTAAGTCGAACAGCATGTAATTTAGGTAATTCTGTTGTTAATTCATTTATTGGACGAATACCAGCAAGACTAATTGCAGGGTCTTTATATTGATATAATGGATTAAATAATTCAAATAATAATTCTGGACGTTCTTGTGAAACATTTCTTCTTCTAAGTAATGGAACTGGTAATCTTTGTGAAATAGTATTTTCAAATCTTTTTGAATTAAAATAATCATTAGGAATAATTCCATTCCATTGTTTATTAGTATTTAACCATTTTGGTTGTTTAAATAAAACACGACAGACAAGATTATGATATTTATCAAGTTCACTTGGTAAATCTTCACGTTTTATTTGAATTAAATGAGGTGGTTTTTCATCACTCTCTTTAAGTATTTGGAATTTAGAATAAAATTTAGAATAAGCCTTTAATAATGAACAAGGTTGTTGTAATTCATTTAAATCATTTTGACGATCCTTAATATATTTAAGAAATAGTTCAAATTCACTCCTTTTAACACAATATGGTTTTGATAATGATGTCATTTCATTTAAGTATTGTCGAATATCTTTTTCTAACAAATAAATTGGTTTCTTTTCGACTGATGATAACTCGAGATATTTTCTGATTTGATAAATATCAATCAAATCTCTTCCTTCAGTATCTAATGAGTCAAATAATAAATTTGTCTCAACATTTTCTGTTGTTGGTTTTTTATTGGATAACCCTTTAATAATAAGAGGAGTTTGATGCTTAGTTGTTTCTGTTTGATTAATATCTTTTCCATCTGGTGTAATTTCTAATATTTCCGCTATTTTCAGTTGTAATTCTTCTTGATGGCTGTCCATCAATTTAGTGTTAACTGATTTGAAAGTTTTCATCCTAAAATCCAAGGAAAGAAAATACTAAACGTTCAAATACAAAACAAAATAAAACCCAAATATTTTAATTTTATGTTTTGAAACACGAAAAGAGAAAACCGAAAAAACTATATTTCATTAATATTAATATTATTCATTGTTATTTATAATTAAATCACCCTTTTGATTAATTCAAATCTTTGTTATTTATAATTATTTAATAATTATTTTTTTTTGTTATTAAAATGGAAAAAAAAAAATAAAAAAAATAAAAAGAACTTAAAAAAAATAAAACTCAAAAAATAGTATATTTTGAAAAAAAAATGGTTTGAAACAATAATTTCAAAAAAAAAAAATTGAAACGATTAAAATAAAAATTAATTACAAATAGAGTTTCTTTGGATTTGGAGGACCAACAGTTAATGTTAATATTCAATTAGATGAAAATCATAGAAAAAAAACAATATTTCAAACAGAAAATAAAGAGAAAATATTTATTCCAATTTATACTGAAAAAGATACTGTTTTTGGAACAATAGAAATACAATGTGAAAATAAAAAATGTGAACATAATGGAATTAAAATGGAATTACTTGGAATAATTGGTTTGTAAAAAACAATTTAATTTAACAAAAATTAAAATAATTTAAAAAAAAAAAAAATGAAATTAAATTAAAATAGAAAATGATTCATCAAAAATACAAAAAGAATTTTTAAGAAATTGTATTGATATTTGTGGAACAAATACATTATCAGAAGGAATAACAACATATCCATTTACATTTGGAAAAATAGAAAAGAAATATAATAGTTATTATGGAAGTATTGGAAGAATAAGATATATAATTAAATGTACAATTCAAAGATTTTCAAAAATAATTAAAGAAATAGAAATTGGAGTTATTAATAAATCACCTCATAGAATTAAAAAATCATTTGAAACAACATTAACAAGACCAATTTTAATGCATTTTGCAGTTGAATCAATTACATATGAAGTAAATGATATTATTCATGGATTATTAAAAGTTGTTACTTCTAAAAATTATTCTTCAGATATTTTTACTTCAATTAATTTAGAATTAATTAAAAAAGAAATATTTTCAACTGAAAAAATAACTAAAGAATTATCTAAAAAAATTATTGAAATTGAAGTTTTAAAAGGTGTTCCAGAAAGTGATGAAATAATTCCTTTTAATTTAATTTTACCAACTGAAAAATTAAGTCCTTCATTTAAAACAATTGAAGGATTTTCTCTTCAATATTTTTTAATTATTAATATACATTTAAAAGATACTTCTAATTCTAAAACTGAAAATTCTAATCCTAAAACTGAAATTCCAATTAATATTTTAAAAGAAGAACAAACAAAAATACTTTTTGATGAAAAAATGAATGGAATGTTAGAATGGTTAGATGAAATGGATAAATTTGAAGAAATTATACCTCAAGATTTTGGTGAAACACCATTAATTAAACAATCAATTGATGAATTTAATAATGTTGAAGAAATTGATTCTCTTCATGATTTAAAAGAAGCAGAAGAAAAATTAAAAAGTGATGCTTGTTTAATAAAAAAAGTAGAATTTGATTGGTAATTTCAAATTATTAAAAAGAATTATTAAAACAAAAAACAAAACAAAAAAGAAATTGAAAATGAAAGTAAATAAATTGAACTGACAACAAAAATTTTTTAAATTTTTAAATTTTTTTTTTTTTCAAAATATTTAATTTTGTTGAATAATTGAAGCGTTCCATAATTGAGGATTTGATTTAAAATCTTTTTTCATTTCTTGTAAAGCAGTTAAAATCATTCCAGATTTAGGTCTATTTTCTTGTTCTTTCATAACACATTGTCTAATTAAAGTTGCCATTTTTTGAGGAGTAGAAGGAGGAATAGTTGGTCTAAGATCACAAGTAGCAGATTGAATAATAATTTGAAGGTCCATAGTAAGTTCAGGGAATTCTTGAAAAGGACGTTGATATTTTTGATAAATAACTCTATAAATTAATTCCCATAAAATAATTCCATAACTATAAACATCAGATTGAGTAGTATATCGTTGATTATAATAAACTTCAGGAGCACAATAAGCATAAGTACCTCTATCTTTTGTAGAAGTAGTTATTTCAGAATCAAAACGAGATAATCCAAAATCACAAATTTTTAAACGTTCTATTTCAATTGAATTTCCATTTTCTTGAATAGTTTCCATTGTTACTAAAATATTTAAAGATTTTAAATCTCTATGTAATATTTGTGGAGTTCTTGAATGAAGATAATCCATTCCTAATGCAATTTGTTCAGCATAATCAAAAACAGTTTCCCAAGTAATTGAATTTTCTTTTTTAGAAATAATATCATATAAACTTCCTTTAGAACAATATTCCATTACCATTGAAAATTGTTTTTTTACAATAACACCATAAAATCTAACAATATTTTCATGTTGTAATTTACTTAATACTCCATATTCTTGTTGAAATTCTTTAACTTCTTCCATATTTGTAGCTTTTAATGTTTTAACAGCAACAGTAACATTTTTATATTTTGCAGTATAAACAATTCCTGATGCTCCTGAACCAATATTTGCAAGAAATTCTATTTCTTTTGGTTCAATTACAAATTTACCTTGTTCAATTAATTCAAGTAATTTTTTTCTTTCTTCTTGTTCATTTTCATTTTCTGTTATTTCTTTTACTTCAGGAACATTTGGTAATAATTTAAATTTTTGAATTAATGCAATACGTTCAACTGATGATAAAATTCCAATTTTTTCAAGAGTTTTAGGTGTTTGATTTCTTAATTTATATTTAAACATTTTATTTTTAACTAACATAGCAATTGCATTATCTGATGCTTTAATCTCAATGAGATAATCAATTAATTCTTTAAAATCATTTACTGTTTTAAAATATCTTTCTGATTTTGTTTTAGCTAACATAAATGGTGTTTGTCCATGATCATCTGGAAGATCTAATTTTGCTTTATGTTCTAATAAAATTGATAATAAATCTGTTCTTTCATTATGAATTGCATAATGTAATGCAGTTGATTGTCTATTTGTTGCAGCATTTACATCAACTCCTCTTTCTAATAATTTACTAACTAATAACATTCTAATTGAATTATTTCTAACAACTGTATGAAGTGCTGTTTCTAAATTTTTATTTTGTGCTTCTAAATTAACTCCATGTCTAAAAAATAATTCCATTGCTTCTTGACAATTTGGATTTGAAAAATTTTTACAAAAGAAATGAAATGGTGTATTTTTATCTAAATTTTCTTTATTTACATCAATAGTTGGTGCATTTTTTAATAATGCTAATATAATATGTTCATTATATGATTCATAACTAGCAATATGAAGTGCTGTATTTCCTTGTTCATCTTGTGCATTTACATCAACTTTTCCACTTTCAAGTAATGTTAATATTTTATATAAATCTGATCTTTCAACTGCACTATGTAATGGAAGTGTTTTATATGATTTTTCTGTTTTTGGATCAACTTCTGGAAATAAATATAATGAAACTGTAATTTTTGGTTTTGAAATTCTTTTCATTAATGGATCTGGTTGAATAATACGATGACATTGATATTCACTTGATATTTTTGTTGCTAATTTTGATGGACTCATTTTTTTTTTCATTGGTGTCATTTTAATTGGAGTTGAAGATGGTAATGGTGCTGAAATTGTTGTAAATTGTTGTGTTTTTTCTAATCTTAATAATGTCATAGAATTTGTTATATTTGTTTGTGATATTTGTGTACTTGGAACTATTATATTTTCAGGTGAAACAATTCCAGTAACTGGTGTAGATATTTCTGAATGTAATGATACTTTTTCTTCAATAGGTTCTAATTCAAATGATTTAATATGATTTGTATTAAATGGAAGTAATTGATTAATATTTATTCTTTTTCCCTAATTTTTTGCTGATTTTCTTTTTTCATGATCATGAAATTCAAATATAATTTCTTTTGTTGAAGGTGAAACATTTCTAAATTCAATTCTATTTTCTGGACTATGGAAATAATTATTTGTTGTTTTTCTACTAACTCTCATTTTTCCACTTTTATCTCCTACATTTACTGAAACCTAAAAAATTGATTTTTCTTCTTTTTTTTTAATTTTTATTAAATTTTTATTAAATTTTATTTAACAAACATACGACTCTCCTGATGTCATTGCTACGGGAAATAAATTTTCACCAGAAATAACTATATTTTTTAATTTTATTTTATTCCTTTTTTTTTTAATTGTTTTTTTTTATTAAACAAACTTTCAACACGAATAATACGATTGATAGGTCCTTTACCTTCTGTAAGACTTTTTCGTGTGATGCTCATTGAAGTAAAACTTCTCTTTTTAAGTTTTTTTTTTTAATTAATTTTTTTTTAATTTTTTTTTCTAATATTTTGAAAAACAAAAAAAAAAATAAAATAACGAAAAAATAATTCAATTGCTAACAATGTGTTTTTTTTTTTTTAAAGTGTGAACTTCTCCTGATCATATTGAATTCGTTGTTTTTGAACTTTTGAATGATATAACTCTTTATTATTTGTAATATCTTTAAATGCATCAGGTTGTGCAGGTGATAAAGTATTTGGTGTATTTAATAATTCTTGAATTCCTAATAATATTTGTTTAACTGAAATAGAAGGTCTCCAATCTTGTTCTTCATTTAAAATTGATAAACAAACTGTTCCTGATGGATAAATATTTGGGTGATAAAAACCTTTTGGAAATCTACATTTTGGTGGTCGTGTTGGATATTCTTCAGTAAATTCCATTGTGAGTGGATAAATTCCACCTTCCCATTCTGTTCCTTTTGCTCCAGGAATTCCACAATCCCATGTTAATAAATCAGGTGTTCCTTCTTTTGTTGTTCTTGGTCTTGCTATAAATCCTGGTGGGTGTTCTCTTCTCCATAATCTTCTTTCTTCAGTTAATCGTTGAATTGCTAATCCACTCATTATTTTATTTAAATAATCTTATAAGATGCTAAGGGTTTTTCTTTTTCTATTTTTCTATTTTATTTAAAACTTCATTATGAGACTCTGTGCATTATCTTTTCTTTTACTCATCATTTCAATTTATTTCATTCATCCTCTTTATTATTAACTATTTATTTTAATTTTATTCTTCTTCATTTATTTATTTCTTTGAAATGAAAATATCATTCTTATTTTACTTATAACGTATTTCACTTTAAAAACTCTTAAACTTATTTATTCTGTTACAAATAATAGAGTTTTAGTTTATTTAATTGTATTTCAAAAGAATAATTTAATAATTACTTTTTATTTTATTTAAAAAAAATTTCAATATTTAGAAGAATATATGAGAGTTAAAAGAATATATTAACTTTAAATTATTTTTGAAGTGTTTTAATGAAATAAATTGTTTATTATTAATACTTTTTTTTTAAAATATTACTAAATAATTCTTACATAAAAATCTATATGATAAAATTATTGAGTAATTTTTATTCTATTGAAATAAATTCTTCATATAAATGACTTTAATTATAGTATTATATTCATTACTATTACATCATTAACAAAAAATTGATTTTCTTTTATCTACTACGTATTATTTTATTTATATTCAATATTATATTAGTTATAGATTTAATTAAATAAAGATATTAGAGTAAATAGTATTAAAAATGATGAATAAAACATTGTTAAAGTAATTAATTTTTTTTATTAAAATATAAAAATAGAAATAGGGTTAAAAAAATAAAACAAAAAGAAGAAATAAAAATAATAAGAAAGAATAAAATGTTATTTAAAACAAATTACAAGAGAAAGAACTAAAAAAAAGGAAATTGAAGAAATGGAAGGAAGAAAAGTATCAAAAGAAATAGTTGAATTTTGTAATTTAATTGTTGGGACATGGAAATTAAATGAACGTACATTTAATTATCAAAAAGGATTTCCAGAGAAAGAAGCGAAAAATGTTATAATAGATGTTTGTAATTTTTACTCCTTAAAATAAAAAACAAAATAAAAAATAACACAAAAAGATAGTTAATGTAGAAGTATTAACAAATGATTATCGTAGATTTTATAGATGGACAACAACAGATGATCCAGAAACAGTTAATAAACAAAATTATCCAACAATGGTAATGGAAGTATTTGGTAAAAATGAAGGAGATGATTCAGATTTTGAATTTCGATCAGATGGTTTGAATATATTTTAAAAATTATTTAAAATAAAAATAAAAAATTAAAATAAAAAAGATTATAGTGAAGTTGGAATTGGAAAAATTAATGGGAAATGGATGACAATTATATTAGAATGTATAAAAAAAGATGAACGAATAACTAAAACATTATATTATAAATTAGAAGATAAAAACAGTTTGTGTAAAATAAATTATAAATAAATTATAAAAAATAAATAAAAATAATAATAAATAGCAATGTTATATACATCAATTTGTGTTAATAATTATGGAAAAGATTCATTTATTGAACAAGGAGTATTAAATCGAATTTATTTAGATGATAATACTGATTTATTAAAACCAAAATAAAAAAAAATTATAATTTCCATTTTTTATTAATTAAAATCAATCAATTCATTTTCTTTTTTAAATTTAATGGATCACTAATAATAATTCCTCCACCAGAAATATTAACTGAAGTTGTAGCACCACCATTATTATTTCCAATTGTAGTTTGAATTCCTGTTCTAAAACCACTTAAACTAGTTTTAATTCCTTTTGTCTCTATTTTTTTATGTTTTAATATTCTTCTATTTTCTCCTTGTAATTGAATTCCTTTAACTTCACCATAACCTACTCCATTAATTTCTTGTTCTTGTTCTCCAAATTTCATTCTATTCATATTTTTTCTTATTTCAGTCATTCCATACATTTCTCTTATTCTTCTTACTCTTCTTCCACCTCTATGACTTTTACGTTTCATTTGGTCTGGTGGAATAATAGCTTTTTTCTTTTTTAAAGGAGGTGGTTGTAATAAATAATCAAATCGTTTTATTACATCTTCATATAATTTTTTTCCACATGTTCCATCAATTGAACCAGTATCATTTCTACATGAATCTGCTCTTGCTGCTAATGTAACTTTTCCTGCTAAATAACGATTTGCTTTTTTTCTAACATCAGGAGGAAGTTTTTGAATTAATTCTGATTCATAAATAAATCCAGTATGTGGTGTATGATGACTACTTGAAAATCCACTTAAAGTTATTTTTTTTTGTCCAAGTACTTCAATTATATTTGATGGTAATCTTGCCAATGAAGAAATACCACCTGCTGCACTAATTAATTTAGCTGCTATTTCACTTCCAATAATTGCAGTTAAATTTGGTGCAAGAAAAATAACTTGACTTTCAAGATATTCTACAATAATTTGTGAAATTTGTTGTAATTGAATTAATACATCACATTCATTAATAATTTCATTCATTTCATTTTCTGTTATTTGATATTTATTTGAATTAGTTGATGCAGTAATAATTCCCATAATTATTGCTGGTGAAAGAAAAGAAGAAAGATCAATTTTTGTTAAATCAGTTTCTCTTTGAATAGTTTTAACAGTAAGACAATATTCAACTTTATTCGTAACAAGTTGTTCTAATTCTGGAAATTGTTTAGAATAAATATCTTTAATATGATTATATAATATTTGTTCATCATTAGATATTTGTAATAACATTTCTGGTATTTGAATAACCAATTGATATTGTGGATCTTCTTCATTTATTTTTTTTATTTCATCTCCTTGTTGTTCTTTATATTTCTCTATTTGTTGAATAATTTCATTCCATTGTTCTAATTTCATAATTTGTTCAATACTTTTTGGTTTAAGTTGATTATTATCTTCATTAAATGTTTCTTCTCCAATTTCTTCACTTCCTGAAAGAAAATCCTCTAAAAAATCGTCAACAATATTATTTGTATTTTCTTCCATTAAATAACAATTAATTAATCAATTCATTAGTTCATCAAAAAATGAAAAAAATAAAATAAAAACAAATAAAATTATTTGTTATAAAAATAAAAAACTAAAAAAAATTTTAATGGAATAACTAATCGGTTACACAAAGAAAGATGGTGTTGTTCTTGGTGGAACTGGTTTTTCTGATTCAGGAACAGCATCGAAAATGGTAAAATCTTGTTTTAAATCATTTCCAACTCTCATAATACAAGCAACATTACCACATCTACCACAATAATTTGGTGCAGACCATACAGTAACCAATTTATTATCAAAATGATACTTATAACCTTCTTGTACCACTTGATGAGCACGAGCAATTAAATCAATATTATTAATATGATTAAATTCTTCAACTGGTTTTGCACCAAAAACATATCCAGCACCTCTCATTGATGGTTTCATTCCTTCAACATTTTCATCTGGGTCTGACCACATTAAATCACAAAATGCACCTTCATGTGGAATTTCTTGATTTCTTTTTACAACAACTCTAATATGATCAATAGTTCTAATTTCTGGTGAAAGACCTCCATGAACACAAAAAATTTTACCATCAATTAAAGCGGCAATATTTAAATAATCAAATACTTCAGTACACCACCTCCATGAATTAGCAGTTCCATATTTCTTAATACATTCTTCATAAAAACCATAAACTTGAGTAACTTGTCTACTTTCATGATTACCTCTCATTAAAGCAATACGAGTAGGATACATTACTTTGTATAACATTAATAAAGTAAATACTTCAATTGAATAACTTCCTCTATCAACATAATCACCTAAGAATATATATGAATTTTCTGGTAATGAACCTCCAATAGAAAATAATTTCATTAAGTCATAGAATTGTCCATGAATATCTCCACAAACAATAACTGGTGTTTGAATTGGTTGTACATTAGATTCTTCAATTAGAATAGATTTAACAGCATTGCACAATTTTTTAAAATCATTTTCAGGAAGGTATTTACCACTTTTTACAATATCTAAGCATTTCTGATAGTCCATATCTTAAATATTTCTTTTTTAAGTTTTTTTTTCTTTTTGTTTTTCTTTTAGGGTTTTTTTTTTATTTTTTCTGTCCTTTTTTGTTTTGTTCAGTCCTTTATTATCTATTAATATACTTTATTTTTGTTATTTGTTATAACAATTTATTTTTAGGATGAAGTTTTTAAAATTTAATTAATAACTAAATTTTGATGTAACAAAAAAAAAACTGAAAATAAAATTAAATTAAAAGATATGAATTGATAAGGATTAAATGGGGTCTAAAGCCTTTTCAAAAATGAAGTATGAAAGAAGAGCACTTCCGATGACATAAAGAAGTGATAAAAATATACCATAAATCATATAATGTTTAACTTTATATCCACCATCTTTCATTACCATTAAATTAGTTTGATATCCAAAAGGTAAAAAGAAGCAAGAATTAGCGCAAATCATCATAGTAACCATTGCACTTCTTAAACCAATATCATTTCCTCTTGTTAATCCAGTTGGATCACTTCCAAGATAAGCAGACCAAACAACAGGGAACATAACAGCAATAGTAGCATTATTACTTAAAACTTGAGTTAAAACCATTGTAGGAATTCCAATTCCAAAAAGAATTCCAATTCTTCCTAATGGAGTTAATAATTTAATTAAAGTCATTGCAATTAAATATCCAGTATTTGTATTTTGCATAGCAGCTGATAAACCAAAAGAAGCACCTAAAGTACAAACTAAAGATACACTAACAGCATTATATACTTGTTTAACTGTTAAAACACCAGTTAATACTAAAGCAGCAACAGATAAAAATGAGAATTGAATAATTTTATAAAATCCACAAACATCTAAGATAATTGGAATTAATAATGAAGTAATAGCAATCATTGCTTTCCATAAAGGATAATGATAAGGTAATTTAATAGGTAATTCATATGCAATTCTAAAAGGACTTGGATAAATTTCAGAACGAGTAAATGAAGTTTCAGTAATAATAAGATAACTTGAATTTGAAGTAACAGGCATAAAATATAATGGTTGTTCTTTTACTGCATTAAAATTTTTATCATCATTTGAAATACCTAAAATTCCAAATCTACAATCTTCAAAATAAGTTGGGAAATTCCTTTGATTAAATTCAGAATTTTCAGTAAATGATATTTCATAAAGACTTAAATCTTCTGTTGAAGTATGTTTTAATATATTACAAGCTGTTGGGTCTTCAAATTTAATTCCTCTAATATTCATTAATTCAATTAATAATGATGGTTCACAAACATAAAATAATGTATCTCCAACTTGTAATTCACTATTTGGTTCAATTATTTTATTTCCTCTTAAAATTTGTGGAAGTGCAACACCTGATAATCTTCCTAAATCAGTTTTCATAATTTCTTTACCAACTAATGGAGATCGTTCAACAACATTAATTGGAACAATAAATGTATGAAGTTGTTGTTTAACTTCTGTTTTAACATGTGATGGAAGTAAAAATTTATTTGAAAAAACAAGATAAATACATGCTATTAAAGCTAATGGAAATCCAACATATCCTACTTCAAATAATGACATTACATAATCAATATGAATTACTCCTTGTTTATTTAATCCATTAATTGCTGAATCAATTAATCCTTTAGCAACCATATTTGGTGATGTTCCAATTAATGAACACATTCCACCTACACAAACAGCAACTTGCATTGGCATTAATAATTTAGATGCTGGAATTTTAGTAGTTTTAGATAATCCAAGAATAATAGAAATTCCCATTGCAACTATTGGAGTATTATTTAAAAATACACTTGCACATGCAAATAATGGAACAAATCGAATTGCTGTTGGCCAAATCCATTTTTGTTCTTTATTAGGAAGAATATAACTACATATTAAAGCAAGTCCTCCAGTTCTATTAATTGCATCTGAAATAATACAAACACATAAAACAGTCATTGTTCCTGAATCTGAAAATCCTGAAAATGCTTGTGAAGTAGAAATAACATTACAATATAATAAAACAGCAACACCTGTCATTAAAACAATACCTGCATGCCATATTTCTAATAATAATATAAACATCATAATAATAAATACAAATAAAAATATAGCTGTTTTAGCTGAAAATTGACCTGGATAATTATCTTTCCAATCACAACAATACATAACAATAAATATAATACTTAATATTCCACTAAATCCAAGTGGTAAAAATAATTTTGAAAATCCTTTTTTAAAATAACTTTTAACCATTTGTTTTTTATCTATTAATTCAGTTGTTTCTTCTCCTGGACTTTTTTTTCTTGGAACTGGTGAATTTCCAAATGAAGCTGATAATAATGCTGGATGAACTAATCTTCCAAAATCAATTGGTGAAGTATTATCACTTCTTTGATTTGGACCAGTAATATCTTTTTCTGTAAACTTTAATTTTTCCATTTCAATTTGTTCTTCACTTTTTGATGTATTACTTGCTTGTGTTTTTGGAGCTGGTAAACTATCATCTGATTCTGATCGTGAATCTTTTTCTTGTTGACTTTGATATGATTCTAATTTTTCGTTTTGTCTTGAATGGATAGATTCATTTGTTTCATGAAGGGAAATAGAAAGATGATTTTCGCTCATGAATAAGATTTGAACTATTCAAGTTGGAATATCAGTTCCTCCAATTTTCAATTTCTAAGGAAAATTACATTTTTTGAATAATCAAAATGTCCATTTTATGTATCTTTTTAAATAGAATAAAGAAAATTCATTAAAAAAAAATTGTAAAGAAAAACAAATATTTTTATATTATGTTTTTCTTTTTTTTTTTTTTTTGATTGAAATAATTTTTATGTTAAATCTTTTTATTTATCTTGAAAGTTAAAAATTAAAAGATGAAAGTTCAAATTGCTGGATTAATATATCAATTTTCAATTAAAAAAATTCATGACATTATTACTCTTTGTATTGGAATTGCCTTTTTTTTATTTTCTCTTCATGTTACAATTTTTCATGTTCAATATAATTCATTACCACATGTACAATCATTAACTACCATTGTTACTTGTTCATTTTTACAAGCAATAATTATTATATTATCTTCTTTAATTCAAATATTACATTCAACACATAATATTCCAACATCAATGCCATTTCATTATTTTATGTTATTTGTTAGATTGTTAATATCATTAACAAATAGTATTATTCTCATCGTTTCTCTTCATCAATTTAATAAAATTAATGATTCATCTCATCATCTTTCTTTAATTGAATCTCAATATTCATGTTGTGGTTGGTTCTCAATCAACACAATGACTTGTAAATCATTAGCAGCAATTCGTGCTGATAGAACATGTTCATCAACTATTGGAGTATCATTTCATAATGTTCTTTCAATTGCATTAGTACTAAATATTGTAGAAATTATTGTGTCTCTTTCACATTTATTTATTTCATATATTTCTCATAGAATTATTACTCAACAAGATGAAGAAACAGAAAATCCTGATGATATTATTTCAAATTATCTTACTACGAACCAAACTGATATAAATGAAGAAACAATTCTTTTAAATAATTTTTCTGATAAACAACATCATGTTAATCGACCATTATCAATTTATAATACAACAGAATCAGATAATGATAATGACAACTCAAATTTGATTTAGTTTATATTGATTAATTTCATTTTTTTTTTTTGTTAATTTATCCTTTAAACATTAAAAATAATGAAGAAAATAATATTTAATTATATTCCTTAATATTATTTATTTTCTTCTTGTTTAATTTCTTCTTGTTTAATTTCTTCTTGTTTAATTTCTTCTTGTTTTTCTTCTTCCATTGGAGTTTCTTGTGATGGTTGATGACCAACACTATCAAGGTCAAGATCAGTAATTAATTTCTCTAATGATTGTCTATTTTGTTCATTCACAAGTCGTTTAGCCCTTAAAAAATAAGTATTTGGATGAATAATATCTTGAATTTCATCATCAAATGGTTTATTTTGTGATAGATATAAGAATTTAGTACATGCATGTGTTGGTTGATAAGAAATAATTAAATCTATAACACTTTGTAAAATTTCTTCTCTTTTAATTTCATCAATTCCTTTTAATTCCATTAAACTTAGAAGATTATCTTCAATATCTTCTTGTTTAAATGATTTAGTAGTCATCATACATCCATTACAATCTCCAGCATTTCTAATTTGACTTATTAAATTATTACATCCATATCCAGTATAATCAATTTTAGCACCAGCTCTACCATATGAATGTTCAATATTATAAATTCTTTCTTTACTTAATGGTTCAATTTCTTCAAAAAATTTCTTACAATCTTCCATTGATAATCCAACACCTTTAAGAAACATTATAAGTTGTAATAATCCAAAGTGTTTTAAATGTTTATCATGAAGGAATTTACGATATATTGAATACATACATGGTGGAAATAATTCAATTCCACTTTCTTTAAGAAATGACTTACTACATGTTTCAACATGAAATCCTGTTGTTGCTGTTTTAAGTCCTGTAATTTTCATAACTAATGTTTGGTAATATTCTAATATTGGTTTTAATTCATAAGGAACTTTTCCCAATGCAGGTGAAATATAATTATTTTTAACACGTTCTTGTAATTTCTCTCTATTTTTCATAATTACCATATCAATAACTTCATTCTTTTCAATAAATGCACTTCCATGATATAATAATAATCGTCGATTTTTTAAATTCTTTCCAGCTTCAAAAAATGGAACTTTGATAAATGGTCCTTGAAAATAATTTTGTTGTTTCAAAAATCCTTCTTCATCAACAGTTATTTGTTGTGGATGATATCCAAATTTAACAAGAAATTGTGATAAAGCTTCTAATGAAAGAGTTTCAATTCGCGCAAGATACACTCTCATCTCACATAAAACAAACCAATTTTCAAGTTTTTTATTACAACGAACATTATTTTGAAAATCACAAAATGATGCAAAGAATAATGCATATGACACTTCATCATCCCATCGATTATTTTCATTCACTTTAACCAATTCTGATAATTCTTGTGTAATTTTTTCTGAATTTGTTTCTTCATTATACATCAATCTATACAAACTCCATCTTTTCTCTAATGCATCATATACATTACTCCAACTTATTGTTCCAACGGTTTGATAAACAGTTAACATATTATCATATGTTGGAATAATTTCTTTTTGTGGTTTAACACTTGCTGTAATAATTCTTCTTTTTATTGTTAAAACATCATCTTTATTTCCTTTAACAACAGATGGTGGATTTAATTTAATACCATCAACCCTTCTTGTTCCTTTTATTTTGCTCATGACCTTCATGGAAGTACAATGAAATGTGATTTTTATTGATTTTGAACTAGAACTTAAAATTATATTATTAGGGAATGAATAAGAGAATTAGTCTTTTATTGTTATTTGTTACTCTTGTTTTATCTAGTCCTCTTCTTGACATGAAAATAAAAACAGAACAAAAATATAAATTGATTGAAAGTGCTGAGACTCGATCAATTGATCAATCAGTAAAAACTACACGTTTAGCAATTGAACGTTCACAGAAGAGAATTGTTGCATTAAATAAAAAAATTGATAATGTTAATGATGCTATTAAAAACATCACTAAATCTCTTACAGGAATTGAAGCAAATATTACATCTACAGGAGCTGCAGTTACTACAGCAGAAATGAAATATGAAAGTGCTAAGAAAGCTGGTTCAAGTCAAATAGAACAATATGCTAAAGAACTTAAAGAATTTAAACAAGCATGGAATGAAGCAAAGAAAAATAAAGAAAAGATTATTATAAGAAAAAGTGAATTAGAAGCTAGAAGTAAACATTTATTAGCACAAGGAGAACAAATGAGAATGGGAATTCAAGAAATGAATAAAGCACTTCATACATTTGAAGCACAAAAAGTAGAATTAAAAACAAGATTAGAAGAAGAAAAAAGTGAAGAGATTCATCATAGAAGATTATATATTACTGCTATGGAAGAAAATAAAGAAGTTTCACAAGAAGCAAGAAAGATTGAAGGAAAATTAGGACAATTAACTGGTAGTGAAAGAATTAAAGCACATCAAAGACTTCAAAGTATAAGAGAAATTACTGAGAAAAATGAAAGAATTATCAAATTACAAAAAGAATTTATTTCAATTATTGTTGAAAAACAAAAGAATTTAAAAGGAATTTTAAGAAGAATGGAACAAGAAAATAAGAAACATGAATTAATAATTAAAAAAGAAGGAAGAAAAATGGATAGATTAAAAAAACAAAAGAAACAATGGAAAACACAAAAGAATGGAGAAAAAAGAATTAATTTAATTAGAAGAGAAATGGATGAAATTGAAAATTTAATTGATATAGAAAATGATAGACATGGAAGTCAAGTTGATGAATTTGTTAGAAATATTATTTATTTTAGAATTGAAGCAATTAGAAAAGAAATTAAAGCATTAAAAGGAGAAAAAATTGTATTAAAAAAGTTTGGAAAAGAAATGAAAGGAAAAAGATGTTCTATTTCAACGAATGTACCACAAGAAATTCAAGAAGAAATGAAAAAAGAACAAAATAAATTAAAAGAACGAATTCAAAAAGCTTCTAATAGAATTAAAGCAGTAAAAAGTAGAATTAATTCATTAAAAAAATATAAAATTCAATTAAGAAAAGGATTAAAGAAAATAATAATAAATAGAATTAAAGATGCTAGAAATATGTTAATAATTCAAAAGAAAAAAGTTCAAGTAATAAAGAAAATTGTAAAGAAATTACTTCAAAAGAATGAAAAAGGAAAAGTTCAAGAAGAAGCTGAACGTATGAAAACAAAATTAGAAAGAAATAAAGAACGAATGAATACATTAAGAAAAATTAGAGATGAAGCAGAAAGAGATGGACGTGCAGTTCAAATGGAAGAATTTAGAGAAATGAGAGAAAAACAAAATGATATTAAAAATACTATTAGAGAACTTGAATTTAATAGAAAAGAAAGTAATAAACAAGAACAAAAAAATATTGCATTAATGGCACTTCAACCAGGAAATTGTTATAAAAGAAGACATTTATGGAAAAAAATTAAAAAGATACAAGAAATAAGAAAAGAAATAAGTAAAAGAATAGATAAATTATCATTAAAATATATTAAAATTACTCAAAACATTAAAAAAGAAGAAGAAAAGAGTAGTCAAGAATTAAAAGAAGAAAATCAAAGACTTATAGAAAAGAAAAAGAATATTATTAAAATTATTAAAGAAAGTCAAATGAAATTAAAAAAACAAAATAATGAAAAAAGATATAGAGAAGAATTAGAAAAAATTAATGAACTTAAAGATGATATTAAAAGTATTAATGAAAGAATTATTAATGTGAGATCAGAAATGAGAAGAAATAGTGCAGAATTATTATTAAGAAAATATGAAGAAAAATATTTAATTAAACATTCATTATATAAAAATAGTAAAGAAAAAATGAGTGAAAGAAGAAGAGAAATTGCTGAAATTTCAGGGAAATTAATTATTGAAGAAAGTATTTATGAACAAACTGTTTTTGATAAAAGAAAACCAATTGAATTAAAAATTCAAGCATTAAAGAAATTAAAAGAACAAAAAGAAAAGGATATTAATAAATTAATAAATATTGTTAAAATTAATGAAGCTAAACAAATTAGAGAAGCAGAAAAAGTAGTTGGATTTTTAAAAGTTACTATCGAAGACACTGAAAAAGCTAAAAAAGAATATATGAAAATTGCTGGTAAAAAATCAACTCAATATAAAGCACATTATGATAGACTTGCTCAAGTTGCATCAAATGATATTTTAAATATGAAAAAAGAACTTCATAAATACCAAGAAAAAATTGAAGAATTTAATAAGAAGATGATTCAATTTAGAAGTGAAAAAAGTCCATGTAAAATGTGTGTTGAATTAGGAAGACGTGCTAAAGAAAGTTTAGCATTAAATATGGATAATGCAGAATTATTAAGAAATATTCAAGACAGATGCAAATATTTCACTGATGATGAAAGAGGAAAATGTTATTCATTAGCATTCAAGATTGCAAAATATGCTGCTAATTTGTTTGATCCACAAGAACTTAAAATAAAGAAAATGTGCGTTATGTTAAAGGGATGTGATACTCTTTAATTTACTTGTTTTGACAACTTCTTCTTATTATTTAATTTCTTTTTTTTTTTATTTGTTTTTCTTAAAAAGACTTTATTCTTCTTGAAAAAAAAAGAACTAAATAAATTATTTCATGTTTTGGTCAATTATTATACAACCTAAAAAAACAACTTCAATTGATACTAACCAAATGATTCATTTAACTAATGTTTGTATCTTTATAAAAGGAAAAATTGAAACCCCAACAAGAACAAATGTATTTGTTAATTCAAATAATAATAAAGTTTTAATAGCTACACTCATTCCAGGAGAAGTTGAACAACTAAAATTAGATATTGTTTTTGGTCAAGGTGAAATTGTTTCTATTTCAAATGAGGGAAATTATCCACTTCATTTATCAGGTTATATTGTTGTTGATATGACAGAAGCAACAGCAGCTGGAATTGCTGAAATGGAAATATCAAATGATGATGATGACAATGGAATAGAACTTGAACTTGCAGAATCTAATGAAGGAGGAGAAGAAACTAATTTAGATCTTCATGCAATTAAAAGTCTTAATCCAATTAATTCACCAACAATCACAGTATCAAATTGGCTTGAAACTGAATTAGAAGATAATGATGCTGAGGAATTAGAATATCATCCTAATGATCCTATTGACTATGCACAAAAAGTAGAAGAAGAAAGTATTGAAGAAAGTAGTGATAATGATAATATTGAAAAAGACAAAGAACAAGAAATATTAGATGAAAAGAAGATAGAAGAAAAACAAGAAATAATCAAAGAAGAAGATGATGGATTACCTAAAATGGAGTTTGTTGAAAAAAGTAATAGTACTAGTCTTTCAGAACAAATTAAAAAAATGAAGAAACCTAAAAAACTAATGGAGAGTAAACCAAAGAAAAGACTTTCTAAAAAGAGAAAAGGAGGAAACAAGAAGTAGTAATAGAATATATTGTTTGAACTTATTTTCTTTTGTTTTATAAGAAAGAAGAAAAGAAGAACTTATAAATAAACCATTCATGTCATTATTGGATTTAGACCCACAACCAAATCAAAAAGCTCTGAATGAAACTATTTTATCTGATTTATTAAATAACCAACAAACCAAAGCAATACCAAATGAACCTTTATTTAGTACTATTCCATTAACCCAACAATATGAAAATCAAATACAAGAAAAAGAACAAAAAGAACAAATAAAAGTTGATCCTTTTACTTCATTGAAGAAGTTAACAAAAAGTAAATATTATCAAGAAGAATTCAAAGAAGTAGAAGCACTTAATGAAATAAATAATCAAAGTATGGTTAAAACAAAACAAGAAAAACATCCAATTGTTTCATTTGATTTAAATAATCAACAAATAGATGTTCAAGAACGTCAAATGGTTGATGGGTTAATGGAACAACAAGAAAAAATACTTGTATCTAATGCTACAAACAGTGGAGGAATAAGAATTGTTCCATCAGAAAGTGAATTAAAAGATTTTGAAAAAAAAATGATGGGAATGGACATAAATAAAATTGTCATTTCATTGATTGAGACTGTTAGTATTGGAAAAGGAAAACAATGTACTGTTTGTTTTTAAATTCTTTATAAATACAATGAAAAAAATAAAATAATTTATATGAATAGAAAGCATTAGGATATTTAAAATATTTATTAACAAATAAAAAAGGATTTAAACAAATCTGTCTTGAGAATCAACTTCCAGAAATATTAAGTCATGTTGACGTTTCATCATCTATTATCAATGAACTTAAATCATCGGTTGAAGAGATACTTAATCAATAAATCATTTTTCTTAAAGATGGCTATAAATAATCTTAGGTAATTGAAACCTTTTGTTTCAATAAATTAATCTAATATTCATTAATGATAAAAAATGATGGGGAAAGGAAAAACCTACAATAAATCTTCAAAAAAAAACTCTGAAGAAAAAAATAGATCGTTTAGAAAACTATTAGAAGAAGTATCATAGAACTATAAAACTAAATACAGGAAAAGATCTTATAAATAAAAACAGTTCAAAGGAAAAAGAAGATGAGAAGCGGTGATATAAAAAGATCAACATCTTGAAAAGATTAAAACACAGATATGTCAGCAGCAGACATTGTTAAAAACGAAAAAGATCCAAGCCTTGTCGCATATTTAAAATCACTTGGAATTGACCCAGATTATGTTCCACCAAAGGATGATCCAAGAAGAGTTGTTATTAGTGAATTTGCAGTATTATTTAAAGAACATGATCCAGTTATTCTTAAATTAAATACTGAAGAGGATATGGAAAAAGCTAAAAAAACACCAATTATTATTAAAGAAGGAGCTGAATTCAAAATGCGTGTTACATTCCGTGTCCAACATCAACCTGTTCTTGGATTAAGAATTTTGAATACTGTTTCTAAACTTGGTAAACAAGTTGCATCTGATGAAGAAATGTTAGGTTCATATCCACCAAAGAATGAGTTTAATGCATTAGAATTACCAAAGAATGATTGGAATGAAGCACCAACTGGAATGCTTGCTAGAGGTGAATATAAGTCTAATGTTAAATTCTATGATGATGATAAAGTTACTCATCTTCAATTCGATTATTTGATTAAAATCGCCAAGGATTGGGATTAAGCTGTCTTTTTTCTAATTCAATTTTTACACTAATTATTTTATTTTTATTAAACCAATAATGTATGAAATGGAATATTAATTAATTATGTTTAATGGTTGAATAGTTTTACTATTAATACTTAAAAATAACCATTGAGGTGATACAATCTCACATTGTGGAGAAATTAAATGTACTATGTCTTTATCTGTTGAGTTATTTGTTATATAATGTGTTACTTTTGAATTAAATGAAAATGATACATTTCCACCATATGCAATAAAATATCGTTGTAATTCTGTTCGGTTTTGTTGGTCAATATCTCTCCCAAAATATATAGTAATAGAAGAAAAAATATTAGGAAGTGATTTTATGATGTGATCATTCACTTGTAAAACAGAAGTATCTTCAAAACTACTATCTCGAGTATCACCTCCATCTTCTAATAATGTATTTCCTGAACTTTCATCATTTGGTGGTTTAATTAATGACTCATCAGGGAATAAGTCTATTGTTCGTTTTGGTGATGGAGTAGGAAGAAGAATGTCAGATGAATTACGTTTTGTAGATTTTCCTTCTTCATCGGGGATAATAAGTTCATTGTAATAAATACATTGACATAACCATTTTAATGAACGAGCACATCCTCGTTCTTCATAAGTCTTTTTTGATGCACCTTTAAATTCTTCAGACATAATAGCAAAGTCAACATCTTTTTTGTTTGATATTTCACCTCCATTATCTTCAATTATTGCTCTTATTGGTTCTCTTTGTTCAGTGGAAAATCCAAGTAATTTAAATGTTTTATCAGAAAATATATTTGTTCGTTTATCATTGATATCAGCAATATCGACGCTAACTCTTTTCTTTGGATTTAATGTAGTTTCTTGCCATTCATCTTCAGCCATAGTTTTTTAAAAATGTAAGTTCTAATTGAATTAAGTAATTGTCTAATTGAATAGTTTATACAACTTTGAAAGATACATCAGAAAACTAAAAAAATCTATTAAATTAACTAGAAAAGAAATATGAAACAATTATTCTTTTACTATTTCATTTTAATTGAATTTATTCGTCTTACTCATTAATTTGAAATATTTCCTCTATTTTTTCATCACTATTTTATTCATTTCAATGAATAATGTCATTTTTGGTTTGTTTCATACTTATCGTTATTTATTTAACTGTTTTTTTATTAAATTTCTATGTCTTTTGGTTGTTAGTATAATTACTGTCAATTTTTATTATTAACTCAGTTATTGTTTTATTAATGATTTATTTTATAGTGTATCTTCAAAACAATAACCTTGATTGTAAATAATGTTGTCACTTTAATTTCTGATGTTATTCCTTATTTGTTGTTATTTTGAATTTAACCTAACTATCTTTTTCTCATATATTATCTGCTTCAAAAACAACATACTTGTCTTTTTAAGTTTCTTCAATAACAAATGGTTTATATAATTTATAAATGATGTTTTAAAGTATTTTCAATGTTTTTTTCTTACATTTATTAAGTTTTTTTAATTACTTGTTAATACACACATATATTGTTATTGCTCTTTCTTTATCATTCATTTATCACATCATTTTCTTATTGATATTCTTTTAGTTTTATCTTTAGGTATGGATATTAACATTGTTAATTTCTCTTATTATATTTTGTTTTTATTATTACATCATTATTGCTTTTTTTTTTATTCTTCTATTAATCATTGATAATATTCATTGGTATAAGTATTTAGTTTTTTAATTGTCATTCAAGTAATATATGTCATAGTTTTATTTATTGATTGTCAAAGACTGACACTATGTTTTATGCTTGTAATTTTATTTCATAAACTTTTATGTATCTATTTTATTAATTTATACATTTTCTTTAATTACTTGTTTTCACTTGAAATGGTTTTATTTAATATTATTCATCTTCTAGTCTTTTATTTTTATATTGTATTCTGTTGTTTATATGTTTTTTAGACTTTCTACCATTAACAATGAATAGTGAAACTTAGATATTTTAGTAATTAGCAAGACAGGTACAAAACAAACTATCAACATACATACGTCTTAGCATTTTATTTGTATTAATAATTAATAATTCTAATTTATTATATTCATGAACTGTAGTTCATTTCTATAATAATAATCAATACTCCTAAAAGCAATTCAAGTTCTTTAAAAATAAACATCTACAGATGAAAAATAAAATATTCTTTTGAAGTAGTATAATGAACTAATCATCAATGAACAACTTTTATTTATTTTTATTTTATTATTTTTAATATATTCTTTCTTCACATCAATAGTTAAATATAAAAATGAACAAATTAGTTATAATTAAATATTATTCATATTGTAATTTCCTTCTTATATATGGTTTTCATTTAATAATTTTTATTTCAATTTACCTTTATAATTTTTATAAAACCTCCATATGAAACAATGTTATAATATAAATACATCATTATGATATGGAACAATCAAATAATTCCAAAAAGTGAATGACAATATCACAAAAAACCAGACATATATGTATTAGATAAAAAGAAGAAAACTAGTCTATTATTTGATAAGATTAATGTTGAATATCACAATATTAATGGAGCCTATTTGAAGAAAAGAAATATGTGTAATGAATTAAATAATATTCTAATGAAAATAGAAAAGTTAAAAGATGTCAGAATAATTCCAGTAGTAATATCAATAAATGGATTAATAAATAACTCAAGTGTTAGATTAATTAAAGAATTAAAAATTGACATTGTTGTTTTTAAAGAAGAAAAACTATATCATTAAAAACATGATATAATGGAACATTGCTTCTATCATAACCAACCATACCCCGTAGAGATAGTAGAATAAGACTCAGTGTGACTAGTATCAAATGAACAAGGAATAATAGAAACTAATTCTATTAACACTTATTTAATTGTTTATAATTATTTCGATTTATTATTTCTTAGTTTTTATTATTCTTCATTTACATCATTTCTGTAGCTCATCGACGTCATGACAGACACATAGAAATAATTTACACAAACAAATAGATTTATATGTCATTATCAATAATATAATCATGGTTATTATCAAAAAATAATAGAATTTATCACTTTATTATATTTCATCATAATTATAAACACTATATCCATTCTCATTTAAACATAATTCTAACAAAAAGAATTATTATAACACCATAAGGTAGGTAAAAATTAATTAATATTATTATGAGAATAACTAATACAAAAGAAAAAAAACATATAAAAATAAAAGATACTAAATAAATTTAATATGAAACAAACCACTAAAATTAGATAAAAAGATAATGAAGAGATATTTTTGATATGAAATAAATATAATAACCATCAAAATTAACAATTAAAGAAATTAAAGAAATAATAAAAGAAGTATGAATAAAGATAAACAAAGAATAATATATAGAATTAATTAAAAGAAAAGAAGAAATGAACAAAGAAATAGGAAAAAGATAAGAGAAACAATAAGAATTATAACAGTATGTTATAACTCAAATCAATTCAATAAATTAAAAGAAATAATACCAAATCACATGAATGTTAAAATAGACATTAATCAAATGAAAGAAATAATAAACAAAAATAAGATAAATATATGAAATATGAAGAATAAAATACCAAGGTAGTAATTAAAAATGAATAGAAAATTTAGAGTAATACAGAAATAGATATATGAAAATGAATAAGAATGTAGTTTTGAATATATTGATAAATTGTATTGTAAAAGAAATAATAAAAATGAATGTAATGAAATATATCAAATTATACAAAAGAAGAATAATTCAACTGTATTAATAAAATGATTAAAGAATAAAAAGCATGAAATAAATAGTAATAACTTGATTTTAAATAAAAATAAATAATCATTTAATAAAATACAATGATAATGAAATGATAAGAAAATAATAAATTAAATAATGAAGAACTACCAATTTAAAATAAATGAATAAAAATAATGAAAGAAATTAACTAATTTGTATGAAATTAACAAATCAATAATTCAATCAAATAATAAATGAAATGATGTACTATTTGTAATAATAAAATAACAATAAATGAAGTTATAATAATAATGTAAATAACAAAGTACAGGCTAAATATGGTTTAATAAATAATGTATCAAATGATGAGAATAACTGAGTTGAAATATAAAAAATATAATGAATAAATGGAGAATAA